TCGCTCTCCCGAGATAAAGGGAGAGCTTTTGGGACTCTACTCCTATCCAGGAGTACTCACCTCGACCCCTTCTCCCGGGGCACAAGGTTCCAAGCCGCTGAACAGCTGCTGACCGCTGTTCATGCTGGCTCTGACGCCTTCCCAAGCGGACGGCTCCGAAAAGAGCCGCCATCGGCGCGCCGTCCCACCGGAAGTCCCTGGCTTTGGATTTTAAGCTCTTCTTCATTGTCATGATGTATTCACTTCTAACCTTTTTCTTGACTTCAGTGCCCTTGATTTTTTCAGCTTGAAGGATACCCAACGACTTTTAGTGATACTTTTCATCCAGACTCTTGATGTTATTTCCATAAACATCTTGATTCATTCAGTTTTCTCTATTTTTCCCCTATTGATAATGAGTGTGGCACATTGTCCAGTTCAAATTCCATTGTAATATCTGGCTCTATATACATAGAGTGTTTAATAGTGATTCTGTTTCAGATAGTATTTTTCCATTAAGCTTCAGGTTATGCATGTAAAGGAGAGGAGGTAGCCTGGCAGATATTTTTGATATTTAATAATTTGACTTGTTCAGTATTGTTGACAAAGGAATCAGTGCAATAACAAACATGATTGATGATGATGAGTCGCCTTGAAGATTCCTCTCTTGATATTAAACTCTAGTCTATAAACATTGGATTATACTGTAAACTGTGTCTTCCTTTTGTAATTATAAAAGCAAATAAATATTTACATAAATCATGTTATCATAAATGGGTTCCCCTCTGGCAAATCCATTGCCAAACTAAGCAAATAAAAATAATTTCAAATGTGAATTACTGTATTCCTAGATCCATTTACTTATACAATTAATAAGAAAATGTAGAGCATAAAACATATATGGAAGAACATTAAAAAATCAAGAGAAACATACAAATCTAATGTTGCATAACAAGAAAAATATTTATGTTGTCAAAATTTGTTGCAAGTACAGCTTCCAGGAGTTTTAGTTATATAAGAAAATTATGTTAGTGATAAACTCTGCCTTAATATGCAATGTCATTTTCATATGTTTCCTGTCAAATGTACTTTTTTGCATCTTGTTCCTAACCTATCTTTTTTATATATCCATTATTAAATGCTGGTTCTCTTTATATGATTCAATATTCACATGGTATATTCAGAGTAGCACTTTCCAAATAAAGGTTAAGGCAACAGAAAGGTAGCTATAATAAATAATAATAATGATAAAGTTGGAAGGGACCTCGGAGGTCATCTAGTCCAACCTCCTGCTCAGGCAGGAAACCTTATACCATTTTGGACAAATGGCTGTCCAGTTTCTTCTTAAAAACTTCCAGTGTTGGCGCATTCACCGCTTCTGGAGGCAGGTTGTTCCACTAGTTAATTGTTCTAACTGTCAGGAAGTTTCTCCTTAGTTCTAGGTTGCTTCTCTCTTTGGTTATCCTTAAGAGGTGACTCCCTTCCTGTTTCTTTGACCAGAATTAATTTAGAGGTACTGAAAAATAGAATAAATTAGCCTGTTTCTTTGTACAACCCAAAGATAATGTTTGTTTGTTTGTTTGTTTGTTTTTACTTTGCTTATTGCTTATACTGTGGGATGCAATTCTCTTTTTTTACATTCTTTGTTTAATTCGTTCACAGCACCTTGTGGAGGCAATCTGACAGGATCATCGGGTTTCATTCTTTCACCAAATTTCCCACATCCCTATCCCCATAGCAGAGACTGCGACTGGACTATTACTGTTAATAATGACTATGTAATATCATTAGCTTTTATCAGGTAAGTAGCTGCTTACTAAAATTTCAATAATATACTATTTCCAGATCTCTTTGTTTTGTTTTTCCAAATGTGCTTTTTCAAAAGGCAACTGGACTTTCTTCAATTTTCCTTGAAGAGGTTTCACTTCTCATCCAAGAATTCTAGAACTAAAGAAGCTTCTTGGATGAGAAGCAAAATATCTTCAAGTAAAAACAAAGAAAGTCCAGTTGGCTTTTGAAAAAGCATCTTTGGGGCAACCATTGCCTGGATGACTGAGTATCTCTACAGACATCTGTTTTGTTTTGTTTTGTTTAGCATGATAAGATAACTGCTTTTCAGATCCAAGCACTTTTAGTTTCCAGAGTAACACATTTAATAAGGTTATCAGAAAATGTTTATCTCAGTTGTTATGAGATGCGGCTATTGAGATATTTGCTTGAAAAATTGAGGATTATACATTAAGACTCCTTTGACTTCAATACTCGGAGAATGATTGTATCATCATATTTAATTTCTACCCTGTTTGTTTGTCAACTATTACTAGGCAGCCTCCAAAATTCATTGATAGCAATAAATCTAAGCTTCAAAATTAAAGCTTTTTTGCTGTTCTTTATATCCTGGTATAAATATTTATTGTTCCATCAATACTAAACATCTATAGCAAGGCAAAAATGAATAGCCTAGAATACAACCAGATCAACTGGGAAAAAGTATTTGTTTTATTTATTTGTTTACTTAAACGTTATTTCATTGTTTATTATATTTCTTGGCTGCCCTTTAGTTTAAATTCCCTGAGCAATATCCAATTAAAAGAATAAGGCAATACAATTAATGTGCCCAGAAATAGTGTAGGGAATGAATTATGCCAATCAATAAAAGCCAGCCAAGCCATAATAATAATAAAAAAGAATTGAACAGCTATTATGAGAATGTTAGGTATCTTGGGAAAATATTTATACCTAGAAGATGCCAAAACTGACGCTTGATGCCTTGCCTATCTAGAGAATTTAGGACATTTTATATGTGGGATACTACCTGTAAATATATTATTTTGTTGTTTTGCTGAAGACTTGGGGGAATTTGAAAGATTTAGATCTAAGACTGTTAGAAGAGTGGCAATAGGCACTCATTTGTTTTCCAGAAGTTCCTTAATTATAACATGAATTTAGAAGATATCTATCTGCCTGTTTAGTCTATGAAGATGTAGCACATAGAAAAATGTATTTAATGAACAATATTCTACAAAGGAACAAATTATTAGGGAAGTGGTGATTTCCCCTTCATTAAATTCATTTAATGTGGTTCCTACACTGATTTGGAATCCTCAATCCTCAATGGCTTCTCCTAACCATATGGATCTATGTATTCTGTTTTCTACTATTAGGCAAGTGTAATGAGCAAAGGAATCAAGGTTAATGTCTCCTTTTTTAAATAAATTTTATTAGTTTTAATAGGGTTGGGGATAAAATTGGGTCAGGATTAGGACTGAGATTTGGGTTAGGGTTGGAGTTGGGGTTGGGGTTGGGGTTTTTCCAGGTAACATTTTCAATATTTAGCAAACAGCATATTGTCTGGGTACATGTATTTAACTAACAATAATAAATATAGTTAATTATCATAAACAAGGTTAATGTCTCCTTTACTTATACTATAATATTGACACAATAAATATAGTTTCCCTTCCTTCTAAGAAATTATAGTGTCAACTGATAAATTTGAAAGAAGAACATAGCCTACAACAGAAGCATTAAATGAAATAAAATCAATCACCTAGTTATTCAGTGCTACCCTTCTTGTGGAAGGCAAAACAGGATTACTTTACTACTATAAATGGGATTAGGATTAAGAGGATTTTTGTTTCTTTGCATTGTTGTTATTATTTAAGAATGTTGCTTGGTAAAATTATCTCTTCTCTTTTATATTAACAACAACAACAACAACTTTGTTGTCACTTTGAATGTACACCTATCGGCATGCATCAAAATGAAATTTCATTGCATACAACTCTCAAAAGGTCATCACCTCCGATATACACACCTTGTTCGTGGCCAGCTCAAGTTACAGATCTTCCATTTTAGTCTTTAGGGAATGAATGATGGCAAACAGGACAGATGAAATGGAGCTCCATATGGATTAGCCCTCTAATTAGCTTGTATTCCTGCATGACAAGCTTGCCTCCTTTCGTCTTTCTGATCCTGTCTCTTCCACCTTTTCCTTAAAGAGGCCTTGCTTCTTTTCACCCCTAGAGCACCCTGCTGCCACCATCAACTCCTCCAAAAGCCTATGTCCCATCCTCTGGGCCTGCCAACAGCCTCATCCAGTTCCTTTGTTCCATAAACCCCAGAACCTCTCTCCTCTGCCTCCTTTGGAAACAGCCCTGATTTGCAATAGAATCCGTCACTGGGCCAGCAGTCAGATCTTGCTGCCGGCAGAACAATTTCAAACAATGCCAACGACTTTTAACGGTCTCACCAACAGTTCCGAAACAGCTAGAAGCTCGCCATGCCAGCAAAGATTGTCAGTCGTATGTTGTATGTTACCTTAGTTCCACCACGCTGCTCAAACACATTAAAATCTTCCTGATCATGTGGCCTATATCCCTTAATATCCCTCCCAAAACTTTTCACCTTCGAGAGCCAATGCAGCCGCAGCCGATCCAGGCACCACCATCTTACAACTAATGTAGGGTTCCTGCCTGAGCAGGGGGTTGGACTTGATGACCTCCAAGGTCCCTTCCAACTTTATTATTATTATTATTAAACTAATGTTAATTGTAATTGTTTATGTTCTTGTGGAAAATGAAAGAACTCTTACGAATTCCAGAGGGGT